GTACGTATTTCCGTATCTTTATCTTCTGTTGTCATTGCATTCGATGAAAGACGTGAAAGAGTATTTGATGTTGAACTATCATCTAAATCACCTTCTGTTACATCACCAAAATCTAATAGAGAATTTTCACCCAAACGACTATCATCATTCTAAAGAAAAGAAAAAATCTTAATGATTAAATTTTTGATAAATTAAATTAAATAAACAAACTCCTTCAGTTGATTCTTCTTTTTGTATTATTTCATTTTTAATAACAGTTGATGTTGATGTTGCAAATGGATTTGTTATTTCATCTTTATTCGATGGTGATTGTGGTTGATTTATTGTATTTATTGAACTAGCTGATGTTGGTTCTGATGTAATCATACTTAGTTGTGTATTAAGACCATTACTTATAATTGTTTCTTGTTTTGCTTTAAGTTTAGTTAATTCTTCTTCTAATTCTTTACATTGTTTTTTACAACGACTTGCTTCTAAACTATATAATTTACATTGAGCTTGTAAATGATTTATTAAACTTCGCATTTCACGTGCTATAGGTACTGAGAACAAAAAAGAAAAAATTTAACAAAAAGAAAAAAATTTTCATTTCAAAACCTGATTGTTGATTAGCAATAAGAACTTTTTCATATTCAACTTGAAGAAGATCATAATCACGACGTGCTTCTGCTAAATCAGCAACAACTTGTTCGATATTAGCAATTAATTTACGTTGATTTTCAAATTCTTCTTGCTAAAGAAGAATAAAAGTTTGTTTTTTTTTTCTATAAATAAAAAAACAATAATTTTCACTTCAATTTTTTCAAATTGATGATCATAAGTTGTTTTTGTACATTTAACAAGTTCTCGAGCATCAGTTAATTGATGTCGAAGATGTACACTTTCATTAACTAAAGCTGTATAACGTGATTGAAGACATTTAAATTCAGGTGTTTCATTTATAAGTTCTTCTGGTAATGAACGAAGCTAAAGAATTAATAAACAAATTAGTTTTTTTTTTTCTGAAAGTAAAAATATTCTGAGCAAACAAAAAGTAATGGTTGAAATATGTTAATTTCTTATGAAAAGATTAAAGAAACATTTTCTCTACATGAGCTCCTAGTAACAACAATACTTTATATGTTTCTCATATTTTAATTTATCTTGAACGGATATTATAATGATAGAATATCGATAAGAACTGTTTTTATTATGATATGTAACAATCACTGTCATCATGACAGGACGCTCGAATTCCATGAGAGTAACACCAAATAGTCTCTTGATAACATTTTTTTTCATGAAAAGTCATTTGAAATTATTTATTAAATACAAACATGAAGTCTTTCAGAATATGTGTCATCTATGTAACTCCAACAGCTACTAAAGTATTCATTCGAATTTATCAATATTTAATACGAACTCTTTCAGTTCCGAGAAGATTCAACATCTCTTATGAAAATATAAGAGCATCTAGCAAATAACAAAAAAAAATGAATCTAGTCCTGCTATTAAATGATCATGAGAGACTTCAATTCAATTAAATGATGATACTCAGTTACAAAGATTATATGGAAAGTAGTGGTATTAAAATAAAAAAAAGAAACACCAAAACACGTTCATCAAATTTTTATGTGATTTATTTGCTATATTCAAAGAATTCATGAACTTGTTTGCAGCACGATGCAATGATTTAGAATAGCTTAGATTTTCTTTGATTAATTTGAACAACTAAAAAATTACATAATGACAGATCCAGAAAATTACATTTAAGTAAAAACTTAATGAACTTGTTTCAGTATTTATTTTTGTGTTCTAGTGGCAGTACTTTATCGATATTCTAATATGTGTAAACAGATAAGTATTAGAAAAGATGAAGAAAACATCCAGAGAATATACATCGAATACAAAATATCATCGTCACATGTCATAACAAATAGTTCTTATCGAAATTTTATTATTATGATATAGATTACATAGTCCGAGAAATGTAGAGCATTGTTTTTTTACAATTAGATTTTATCGAAAAATATTTCTGTCACTAATTTTTTCTATGTTGAACTAACTTGATTTTTAAGTATTTCAATTTCTCGTTTTGTTGTTTCATGATCACTCATTAATTTTTCTAATTCAGCAAGACGACCAGCTGCTAATTCTTTATATTCTTCAATTTCAGCTTGTAAATCAGCATACTTAAACAAAAATATATAAAATTATATTTAATTTAATAATAAAAGAAAAAAATAATTTACTCTATTTTCAGTAATAATAACTGTATTATTATTTGAATTATTTGAATTTGAATCTGGATCATGTTTAATATCATTTACTTGAAATTTTAATCGATCACGTTCTAATTTTGTAATAGCATCTGCTAATGAACGTTCTAATTTTGTTTCTTTACTACGAGATTTTTCTAATTCATATTCAAGATCAGATAAATGACTTTTTCTTTCAAGTAATTGTTCTTCTTGAAGAACTAATTGATTATTTAAATCTGAACACTATAATCACAAAAAAAAAAAGAATAATTTATGTTTTAGATAAAAAGAAAATCAATTTTCTAGAATTTTTACTCGAAGAGTTATTTCATGAATACGACTTTGTAAAGTTGTATTTAATCGTTGAATTCGATCATTTTCACGTTCAAGATCTGCATTTCGTTCCAAAACAGCTTTATAACCTTCATTTGTACATTCTAAATTAATTTATAGGATTAAATCTACAATGCAATCTCTTCAAATGAGACTTGTAACATTAGATAGAATTTACTGATGGATTATAAAAACTTAAAATAGTTTGTTTTATTTTCAAGATATGACAATTTTTAATAATTTTCTGACATAGTGTAGGAAGAGATGGCAGAGAAAAAAAACGAATGTCACCATCTTGATCTCCAATTCGGGTCATAAACAGTTCTGACTACTTCTATTATACGAAAAAGTTTCTGCTAGAACAAATGTTTTCTTTTTGTAATAATAGTTCGAGATTTTCCTGAATCGTTTCTAAAAATATACATTCTCGCTGACACTTTCGGTTCCTGATAGAGGTCATAGGAACTTTTTGTGACCCAAATTCAACGGCAATATGACGACATTCACTTCTCAATAATATTTCCTATGTTATACAAGAAATTTATTAAAAACTGTGACAACCGGAAAAGAAAACAATAAGAGAATGAATCATTCTAGGTGTTACTTACGCACAATAGACTTGAGCTAATGTTACAAACTCTTGTTGAAAAAGATTTTTATTATTTGGATAGGTTTTCTCATAAGAAAAAAAACCAAACAATATAAATTTTTGATTATTAAAGATGAAAATCAAAGAAAAGATAAATTATGATACTATGAAATAATTTATTACAATAAGATGATACATTTATTTTAGTTTTTTTTGAGATTCATCTCATTGTTATTAAATTTGTTTTTATATAAAATATGAAAAAGTATTTTCAATAGTAAATAATTTTACTCGATTTATTTTCAGTGAAACACACATTTTCATAATAAGCTAAGCGATAATTTTTTTATCATAGAAAGAAAAACCTATTTAAAACGAATAATAAATTTAAGATTTTCACGTTTCTAGCAATTCTCATAAACGTCTATCTCATTCAATCTACTGTTATTTTATAAACGTGTCAAATTGAAATAATCAAAATCTTCAATAGAAATTTTACCAGGAATTGAATTCGTTTCACCGGTAGATGATGAAGAATTGATTGAAGTAAATAACCGTTGAAATTTATCGATTAAACTATTATTAAAAAAAAACAAAAAACGAATTATTTAAAGAAAAATTGATCATGAACTGGTTTTTGTTTTGAACACATACTTATCAAAAACTCGTACAAGTTTAACAATAGCTTTGGTAGAAAAATCTAAACGTTGTTTAAGATGTTCATCAAGATCTTCACGTAACCATGTATTTAATTGATGAATATATGAACGAATTTCTTCACCTTGTCGTTCATTATTTGTATTTGAATTTATTATATTTGTTGTGTTACTATTTGATGTAGTTGAATCATTTGTTAATGATGATGATTCATTATTTCCATCTGTTGATGTTGTTGCATCAAATCGTTCGAGTAACCGACGAATATTTTCATCAAGCTAAATTTAAAAAAAAAAGAAAAGAATTTAAATCTATATAATAAATATAAAAATTATACTTGTGTCCAATAAAGATCGATCATACTCCATTTACAATCAACACTAGCTTTATTTGTTTCTAATTGATCAATCTTAGATTTCCATTCAACTTCTGCTTTACGACAATTTTGTACACATTCAAATAATTTTTTATTTTGAATAAGTAAAAGTTTTGCATCAAGTTCTTCCTAATAAAAATTAAAAACAAATCTCTTTCAATAAATAATAGTTTGTTATCTAATATAAAATAACTTACAGCACATTGTACATCAATTAATTTGAATGGTTCAAAGACTACAACACGTTTACCATTATTTTGACTATCACTTTCAGCTGTATCATCAAGACCAGCATCAGATAAAGTACGTTTTTTATTTGATGATATGGAAGAATTCGATTTTTTTGAATTTGTACTAGTAGACGCACCAGTAGCGTCACTCATATTTACAAATGATATATATTAATCTATAAACAAAATTAAATAAAAAACAAAAAAAAAAAAACAGAAATATTATTTACTTTACAGAATATAGAACTATAATCAGACTAGACTATACTATAGATATAAACATAGAAGAAGAATATATAGTCTAATCCACGAGTAATAATTGTTGTCCTATTCACTTTTCACTGGAGAAATTATTCAAGGAATAAATGATAGATAGATAGAATATAAATAAACATATTGATCACAGTGACATCTTGTAATATTTCATTGGTTAGAATAATTATAACCAATACGTAAGAAAATTTATGAAAAAAAAAAATGATGATGATAATAAAATAATATACTACAAAATAGAAAAAACTGAAATATGTTATTTTGAAATCACTCTATTCTTTTATTCATTTTTGTAGAATAAAATGGGACAGAGGAAGAATTCAAAACCTATGAATTATGACCGAACATTTGATTCAGATGAAAAAGTAATCAGATTTTTAAATAAAAACTATTCTTATTATTTCATTCTGTAGGATTTATTGACACTTAAAGGTTATGTGAAAGCTTTTGATTTATGTGAGAATGATTCCGATGTATTTGCTCGTCTAGCAAAAGAAATGGATGAGATCGATGTTGATGTTTGGAAGAATCAATTAAAATCGAAAAAAATGTTTGAATCAGCAAAATACCTTTTTTCCTATTGGAAAAATAATATTGAGAGTAAACAAGATGAAATAAATAACTTAAGAAAATTTATTGAAATATTTTCACTTCTTGAAAATGTTTTTCGAAATGTTCTACTTCGACCATATATACCTACTTATCGTGTCATCAATATGAATTGTGGTCGATATTGTTCATTTGTGACAGAATCTGATAAACTTCTGTTTCATAAATTAAATTTTCATGAAAATTCCTCAAATCTATTAGTTTACCATGGAAATGATTCAATACAAACAATTATTTATGCTATAACATGTGCCATCTTCTGGCATACACTATCAATGAAATTAAAATATAAATAACAATTATCTAAAGTAGCACAACATCAAGAGCAAAATTTTCTAACATATTACTATAAATATTTTTTTAAAGGATTTTTTTTATTGATTTTATATTTCAATAATTTTTATTTATTTAATTGAATATATATATATTCTTATAGATAAGAAATGTCTTCACGTGCAGTACGTAAAACGGCAGGTCATAGAACTGAAGATGATCTTGCACAAGTATTACAAAAAGTTGGTATTGATAAACATGATAATGATGATGAATCTGATTTAATAATAACAAGAGTAAATGATCATCGACGAAATGTATTTGAAATGTTAGTAGATGAAGATGATGATGAAAAAACAACTATAGATGATGATAATCAATCAAATGATGTTGTACAACAACAATCTACAACATCAAAAACAAAACGAAAACGTAAAATAAAAAAAAAAAATAATCAAATTCAAAAAAATGATCAAGTAATTAATGATTGTAAAAGTAATTAAATAATTTAAATATAAATAATAATATTTAGAATAATGATGATGATTTTTTGATTGAACCAAATGAATCTCAACAAGAACCAGATTCAATTTCAACAATATCAAAAGAATTATTTTCAAATTTACTTTCAGTTGATAATCGTTTTTTAAATCCATTAAATGAAATGAAAAAAAAATTTGGAAGTAGTATTGTTGAACAAATTGAACGTGAAAATAATCTTACAACTCAATCAGGATCAACTACTGTCTTAGCTCAACGGTAAATAGTAAATATATCGTTTTTATTCATTTTTTAAAAATGAAATCTTTTTTATTTAAATTATAGTCGTCGTGCATATCAGATGTTACAACAACGTCCAACAACTCGACTAGCTAAACAAAATGCATTTATAGTTCCTAAATTAGGATGGCCAATATATTATAAACTTGGTAAGATGTTGACGAATCAAAATCTGAGTCAAACTTTTTCTTTTGTCATAGTTCGATAGAGCTCGTTGAGCTACCTCCGACAAACAATATGTTTGTAGTGAAAATTAGGTTAAAAAAAAAAGAAATCAGAAAAGTCATCTGTCATTTGGTTAGATAAATAAAATTATGCATAGTGTTGTTGAAAAAAAACATCGATTTTGTTTTTCGATGTGATAGAAAAGCGCCATAAATACAGATTTGTTTTCAGAGATATTGCACATCGAAACTTGAATTCGAAATGAATTGAATATCATATTGAGAATTAACAGAAAAATTTGTATCGAACAATATGCTCAATAATTAAAATAAATCTTCATTAAATTTCAAATTTAGAAGAAACACAGGTCATAGCTTTCGAAAAATGATAGTAAAGGAAATGTGACAAAAAATTGTCTTAAATATTGAGTATATTATTTAATGTAGATTTTTCTGTTGATTCTAAATATAATATTCAAAATGAAGCTTTGATGGTCAAAATAGATTTGTTCAAAAAGTATTTATAGATTTTTTTTTTCTTAATCATATGGCGAGTAAAATAAAAAAAAAAGCTGTTAATGTGCAATCATCACAGGATTAAAATATGAAATACGATGCAGCTGCACTTGTCAATTGTAGAGAGATTGTTTTTTTTTTTTCTTTTCTATCTATTTTATGATACATTTCTTCATCATCCTTTTTATTTAATTCTACAGAGATGCAATAAACAAGTAGTTCATAAATTATAGTGTGACTTTATTGATATACAGTCTAAGACCATATATCAACAATATCTGTCATGATCTGTGCGAAGGTACGAATTTTACTCTGCATACATCAACACAGTTGAGATCGTATTTCATAAAAGTTCGGACAAATATAAAGATTACGAAGACTTGGTTTGTTTTGACGGATATAGGCTTCTCTGATTGTTTAAATCTATGGCAAAAATATCATTTAACTATGCCAAAAGGTACATTTTTAGAGATAAATCGGAAAGCTTTATCCAATCATGAAAAAACAAATATATGTCAAAGAAAAAGATTGCTAAAACTTCTGATTACAGAAACGTTATGTTTTTCTAATTGAATAAAACATTATTTTTTTGTAAAATAGGTTTATCAATGAAACCATCATCTCCTTTGTCTGAAACAACATTAATGAATGGAAATTATTTTCAATTTGAATATGACAAAGATTATCAACGATTAGAAATTCAATTTTTTGATTCTGTTGATGGTCATAATCTACAAGGAATTATGGTTTGTTTTGAATTTCTTCTTAGTAAAAAAAAAATAAAATACACATTAATCTTGAACTAAATATTAAATAGGATATTCTTCGTCAATATCCATATCATATTAATGCACTTCTTCATTTAAGTGATGTCAGTCGAATGCAAGATGATACACCAACAGCTGTTGATCTGATTGGTATAATAATAACGATTTGTTTTGTTTTTTTTTTTTTTTTTAATACAAAAAAAAAAAAATCATGTCTATTTCTATTAAAATAGAACGTGCTTTATATAGTTTTCAACAATCATTTCATCCACTTTTTTCAATAATACGTGGTGAATGTCGTCTAGAATATCGAATACAAGCAAATCGATCTTTTTTTATTTGTTTATTTAAACATATAATTTATATTGGTGAACGAGGTTGTTCAAGAACAGCATTAGAATTTTGTAAAGTACTTTTAAGGTAAAATTTAAATTATTGATCAATTAAAATACAAAAAAACAAAACGAAACATTTCGTTTTTTTTTTTTTTCTCATTGAATTTATTCAGTCTCGATCCAATTGATGATCCACTTGCAATTCTTCTTCTTCTTGATTATTATGCAATACGTTCTGAAGAATATAATTATTTAATACATTTTTATACTGAACAAAATCAACGTTTAAATCTTGATGGTTTACCAAATTTTGCTTATTCAATAGCACTTGCATATTTTCATTTATCATTATTTGATAAAGCAAATGAAATTTTACAAAATGCTCTAATTCGTTTTCCATCTATACTTAAATATTTACTTGATAAATTATCAATAAAACCCGATAGAACAGTAGAAAAATGTCGATATTTTTTTGATAGTGAAAAATATGAAACAAATGCACTTAAATGTGTACAACAATTATATATTGTAAGAATGTCACATGAATGGAAAGAAAAAAATGAATTGGAATTTTTAAAAAATAATGTTAATCAAGTTATACATATTATTGAACAAAATCAAGATTCAAGAATTGCTAATTATACAAAATTGTAAATATTGAATTTTATACATATGAAAAAATAATAATAATAAAATAAATTTTATTCGATTTTAGACGAGAAACATGTTATCGTAGAACACCAATTAATGTTTGTCGACATATTATTTTATCAGAATCAAATGAAATACGAGGATTTTTACCTAATGTAAATATTTGTAAGAAAATTAAAAATTAGTGTAAGTTTTTTTTTTTTTAATTGATATAGGATATGGAAAATGATGGTAGATTTTATAACGTTGATCCATTTCCTCCAAATGATTCAATTGCTAGTTTTCAAAGACCGGAAAGGTAAATTTCAATTATTTTTCTTATTTTTATTTTATTTCAGAATATGAAGTAAGAGGTACAATAGTTATTCTATTTATCATTATTTTTTTTATCTATAGTTTTTAACTTTGAATAGAAAAAATTTAGACAAAGATTAAATTAAGTACATAGGATGTTCAAAAAACAAACACACTAGCTTATTGTAGAGTAGAGTGACGATATGGCATTTATTTCAAGACCACCTTAGAAGCTTTGATGGAATCTCAAAAAGTTAAAGATCATTTTCATTTTTGAAGGTCGATTTTTCAAACCAATATTGATGCATATACAGTAGCGGTTAATAAAAACAATACTTTATCATTCATTAAGATTTCCAAAAAAAGCTTCTTGTTTCTAAGCTGAATAATAAAATATTGTTGATAAATCTCGATATGATCAAAATATCATTAAGCATGGCAAATATATATTGATCTGACTTTTGTCACATATAATTAATGATGTAACATACCATCGTAGTTCAATTAAAATACTCATAGTATTTCCTATTTGTCGAATTACAGTTTAACAATCTTCAATAGTTAAATGCTCAACAGTGTGAATATCTCGAATCACGATCAATAGTTTGACTCTTGCCATTTATTATTTAAAAAAATAACCAATAAAAACTGTAGTAAACGATAAAATACAATCATCAGAAACTGCCATCATCTATTCATCAATATGTGTTTACAAGTGACCTTCTAGAACAAAGAAATTTTCTCATTAAACAATCCATAACTGTTTTGATTTTTCATCAGTGCCTTTAGGTGTTTCCTTGAAACTAATTGCCATATCATCACATATATCAGCATTTTCTGTTATTTTGCAATAAAACCAATCCAAAAACTTTATAAACGTCCGACGTAAAGAAGTTTTCTTCATTGTTCTGAATGAAATATCGATTTGAGTAAAATACTAAGTATGGATGATTCATTCATGTACTCATTATGAATATGAAATAGTCTACACGGAGAACACGCACATATACATATGGATATTGCTAATTATAAGATATATGTTGAAGTAAATTATTTCATATTGAATTTTTCATAACGAGACCAATAATCAACATTTCAAACAATATTAATGCACGATACAATTCTTAATCATATTTTAGAATTGTATGCAGAATCTCTGAAATTGAATTGAAATTTCAATCGTTAATTTCTCGATGTAGACTATGAATTATTGATATAAACATTAATTTGTTCATTTTTTCTATGCTATCTTACATTTTGTATCGAACAATAAAAAACTAAATTAATTTCATAATTGATATTTTAGACCGTCTATGCAAATTAATAGTTCATACAATGGAATTGGCATGCTTCTTCGTTCGTTACTACCAAATTTTAATTTGGAAGTAGGAAAAAAAGAAAATAAACTATACTGAGTTGCTCATTTAAAAAAATTTTTTTTTTTCAACTTTCAAGAATTTTCTTGTGGCTCCTGATGCTCAAGCTGGTGCTGTTGGTGGTGGTGGTGGTGCAGAAGAAAATGATGCTGGCATGTTACAAGCTCTACAAGAAAGTATTCGTGATTTCATACGTGATATCGGTTTAACTAATACTGGTGAAGATCAACTTCAACAACCTCCAGTCGATGATGATAATGATGAAAATAATAATGAATTTGATTGAATTATGGTTGTTTATAAAAAAAAAATATATAATTAAGAAAGAAAAAAAAAGAAACAAACTATTTTAACCGCATATAAGAACGAGATAAGAAAACTCGAACGAAATCATTTTTTCGAATATAACCGAGTTGAAAAGTTAGTTGAATATGTAGTAGAATGAGGCCAAAATTTGTACATGAATCAAATCGATTTACAAGTTGAGAAAGAACGTCAGCAAAGATCAGGCGACTAAGCCTAGAAAGAATTTCATTAAGTATAGTTTTTTTTTTAAACTATTGCCAACAATTAGATAAATTATTGCTACCTAATTGCATTTGAACAAATGCTATGAGGAATTCGTCGAATGTCAAAACGCCTATTAAAATAAACAAAATACGATGTATTAATAAGTTTTTTCTTGTTTTCCTCTTTCTCTTACCGTTACGATCAGTATCGAACATCAAAAACGCACCTATTAATAATCGTCAAAGATCAGAGAAACAGCAACTATAAACAAAAAAACAAAAAACAATACAAAACAAAACGTACGCTCAGCATCCATATCTAAATTATATATATTCGCACATGGATTTGTTTCAAGATAAGCCATTTTGAATGCATTAATTTTCATTCTATATTTCAATAAAAAACAAATTTTGTTTTAAACGAAAACATGTTTTATTTTCGTTACTTTCCACTTTTGCCTGCTCGATCCATAAATGCATCATAGACTTGTTGAATAACAAATGGTTGTAACATAGTCCTTTGACTATAAAGTTGTATGTCTTTATTTGATAAACTTGGATTTTTACTTAACCTTTTGCCCATTTCCTTTGCCCTTTAGTCTGTTATTTTTTCTTTCAAATGAATATGAAACTATTCATTACGTATGTTTCGCTTCAAAGAACATGTAATTAATATTTATTTATTGATGACCTTGATGTTTATGAAGGCTTATTTTTGTTAATAGAGAAAGAACTAAAAAAACTGTACATATGTCAATTTCAATTTTTTTTCAGATTATTTTTTTCAAAAATTCATAAAAGAATAATAATATGTTTAGATAAAAATAATGATAAAAGCAATACTTGTATTTAATAACTCGGCTAAACCACGGTTAATAAAATTTTTTGAACATTATTCAGAAGAAATTCAACAGCAAATTGTTCGAGAAACTTTTCAATTAGTATCAAAACGTGATGAAAATGTTTGTAATTTTCTTGAAAGTGGATCATTAATTGGTGGAAATGATTATCGTTTAATATATCGACATTATGCAACATTATATTTTGTATTTTGTGTTGATAGTTCAGAAAGTGAATTAGGTATATTGGATTTAATACAAGTTTTTGTTGAAACACTTGATAAATGTTTCGAAGTAAAATATTTTCTTTGTTTTTTTTTGTATCGAAAATTAATTTAAATTTGTCTCTTTTTTTTTTTTTTAGAATGTCTGTGAACTTGATCTTATTTTTCATGTAGATAAAGTTCATTATATTTTACAAGAATTATGTCTTGGTGGTATGGTATTAGAAACAAATATGAATGAAATAATTGCACGAATTGATGAACAATCAAAATTAGAAAAACAAGAAGCTGGAATTACAGCAGCACCAACAAAAGCAATGACAGCATTAAAAGAAATGAATTTACCACAAAAAATTAAAGATATTAAATTGCCTGATCTTAATCTTAATTTACGTTTCTGATTATTATAATCTTTTATTTATTGTTGCATATTTTATGTAGACAAAAAAAAAAAAAAAAAATCAAAATATGAAACAACTTCTTACAAACTTCTAATATCTAATGAATAGTATTATCGATAGATCTTTTTTATTTTTGATTTGATTTCAGAAATAAGAAATGAATTAAAAAAAATAATCAAATCTAACTTCAATTATCAGGTGTTTCTATCAATAAATCAAAGTCTGAAAATAAATTCTCGACTATTATATGTATATCTAACATTTCTACTCGGTAATATCGATATAACAAAACATATGATTATCAAATTACAAAATATGATCTAATCATTAATTATTAATAACGGTCGACATGAACAATGGAGATTAAATAATTAATATCTGCTATAGTTATATATATATATTTAAATTCTATCTGTTAGAATAAAGAATTATATTTACCAGTATTGATTATAGACAAGTAATTTCTTTTATCATAACATTTTCTTCGTCATTCTTTGTAAAAAGTTTTGATAAAATTATTTATCAAAGAAAATTGAAATAAATGATTTGATATTTCGTTTTTGTTCTACTTTTATTACCATCTTTTGTAATCAATCAAAACTTTTCTACTATGCTAGTAGCTTCATCAACATTGTGCTAATTAAATCTATCATTAGTGATTTTTTAATTCAATGATACTGAAACAAAACCTTATATAGATATACCTTGTTGACTTGCTAATGATATGAATCTTTTTACATGTGAAATATTGCCAAATGTTAAAATGTTTGATAGAGCTATGGCTAGTAGATATACATCATATGATGATCGAATGTCAATGCATGATCTTTTTTAAATTTCTTTTCCTATTAATCAAAACATGTGATTAGCACATAAAGTAAAATGATACAGTTCAGTTTATTGGGATATGATTAATATTTGAACTAATTTTATTGTTAAATTATTGAATAGAATGACTTGATAACTACAGACAGTATTAGTACGTATGATAATACTTCAAAACAATCTTCATCAACGAATAATAGCTGTAATAGTAATTACTAAAATAAATCAAATTCCAAAAACTAGTTTATTTGATATTCAATTAGCTAATATTCAAGATACTTCTGCAAGCTTTTCATCATAATAATCATAGAAACAAATAAATTAAGAATTAGCAAGAATTGACTTGTGTTGTTTTTTCATTTGTATAGATCAAAATGTTCATCTTGCTACATAACAACGTACAACAGTAATTCTCAGTCATCTTCTAATGCTAAATTGAATTAGAGAGTAGTGAATCTAGTTGAAATATGTTAGACCGCTGACAATATAGTGCCGAATATAAAAAATATTTCGTAATGCCGAATGGATTTGAAAAATTATCAAAATTTCTTTAAAAAAAAATTACTTCAACACTTCTTATTCGTGCTCGAAATGTAACTGCTTTTGTTTGTAATAAATTAATTAATATGATTTTCTCTTCACCCACAATAACATTCACATTCTTAAGATATTTTTTCCATCGATTTTCCTACGGCCAACTGATGCAATTTCTGATGTACCCAATCGAGCTCATTGATGAAACAATTTTTGTACCGTCAATTTCTATTTGATGTAAGCAAGAGAAAATGATCTTTGATTTAAATAGTATCTTGATATTTGTTTTCAAGGATAAATATTGATCAAAAAAATTTTGCTGTATTAAATAATTCATTATTTTATTCAATTCAACAAACATTTATGAATTGACAATAAAAATCAAGAATGATAGAATTCGATTAAACTATGTTACATACAACTTCTATGATTGGTAAAGCTTCCGTTATAGATAGTGCAGCAGATATTGATCTCCGTTTTCTTATTAAAAAAAGCTTTAATACATGTAATGATTTTCAAAGATGTTTGTCTTTTTGATAAGGAAAATCTTAATTATCATCTTTATCTTGAAACATCTATTGAATAAAATAACGATGCTATTATTAGAAAAATATAAAATTTATTTCCATTCAAAGAAATCTATACGGCAATCAATTTTCGTATTACTGATTCTCATTTAGTTTGTCGTATATCTCTTGATTTAACAATATCAATATTATTAAATATCTGTTTTATCTTGAATATTGTTCATAATGAAACAATATCTATCTGTTGTTTGAAAACAAATGATAATCATGAATTTTTAGTTTTATTCATTTATAATTAGTTTACTGTACTATGAATCGACAATTAAATACGGTTAGTCATGTTTGTTAATTAACCAAGTATATCAACATACTTTGCTTAGATAACAAAAACAAACAGCATTTTTATTGGCTATGCGTTCTCCAATGTTTATAACTGTATTTTTATCTGTTATTGGGTTGACATAATCTTTGAAATGCTAATTTATTGTTCTAATTAATGTGAATTTTAAGAAACTTTATTTGATAATTTTATTTTATATAGAATTGGAAATTTATGATCTATAAGTGTTTTTAATCATAAACATAAAACTTCATATCAGCTGCTCAAACCTATTCAATACAAAAAAAGCCTAAGATAACATAGCTTCAATAACAGAAATGAAAATAGCGATACTCGGTCCAATGTTCAAAGATTTGTTTTTTCTTTTTTTTTCACATAAAATTCTAAATTGTTTATCAGAAACAAAATCATATCTGCATGAAAAATTCATTATAGAGCATACAAAAATGTCGAATTATATTTATCTTTGTATTATTTAATATACATATGATTCGATTTTTAACCAATTTATTTTTGAAATTGTTTATATAATTATTTATTTATCGATGACGAATATTGAAGACAGAGAAAAAAAAGGAACATTCGCCCACTCTTTCAAAATATTCAATGATCAAATATGTGCCAGATCATCATGTCCATCAGAATCCGAGCCTGATACAACTTGTCGCCGATCATTACGTGCACCTTTGCCTGTCTCTTTTCTACTACCTAATAAGTTTCCTGCATTCAAATTTCCAGTTTTTTTTGGCATTCGATTTGGATTATAATATTCGTTGCCATCTTCTTCCTCATCATTTGATTCTTCTTCCGATGGACTTTCATGATTTCTTGTTCGACCATTTGTATTCCTTGGTAGTCCATTTTCTTCATCGTCTGATTCTACGTCATTATAACGTTCATCGAATACGACATCATCTAAACCATCGGTATTATTTGTTGATGTTTCAGTTATATTGATATTTTCAGGAATTTCATGCATACGTTTTAATTCACGAGCTTCATCAGCTAAGAAAAACAAAAATCTTTTCATTTATTTATTCAACTGAATATCTTACCGAGATATCTCATAATAACATCAGCTTTATCATCTTGATAATCTCGTAATCCAACAAGAATAACATCTCCTTGATTGATCCATTGTTTTTTGCGTAATTTACCACGAATATGACATAAACGTTTTTTCCCACCTGCAATATCGAAACAGAATGCTTCCAAATGACCATTACCCAAAATACGTGTAACTTGGGCATAAGATTGACCTTCTTCTTTAAGTATTAATTCCCGTTTGACATCATCATTTTCATTTTTACCACGACGACGATTTTTACCACCTTTTCCTTTATTTTTCGGCATTGTCCTTTTTTGAAGATTTACACTAAATGTGTGACGTTAAGTTCAAGAAAAGTTTCGATATTTATATGAAAGTACGATAAGAAGCTTGGAATCTAGAAGACGAAGAAAGAAATGACGTAAGAATTTTTCTTAATAATGAGGCACTCATGAATAAAAGAGAAAAACAATCAACAAACTATCCAGACGGCTGATTCTTACAGCCAATTAATTAAACATCATCAATAGATGTAGGTGCTTACCAATTGATAATACTCAATAGATGTCGTAATGATTTTCATTAAAAATCAGCTTTTTTTTTTGTTATTTTTGCTCATTATAGATTCCATTATATCATTTAGAATTCATTTCTAATATGAATTTTCCCACGAACAATTAGCACATAAGGGATTTTGTACTCAAGTTGTCTATTTTTTTCAAACATACAGAGCATTTCCGAGCAAGATATCAACACTAAAACTATGTCGAATAATAGTATTAGTATTAAATTAAACACAACAAAGACTATGATTTACGTATTCATTGATAAATCGATGCATTATTAATCTTCAACTATTAAAATACATTTTTTATGAATGTCAAAACAAAATAAATCTTACTGTGTATGGTTTCAATAATTGTAAAATCAATGATCGAATTTTATTTGATTATTTCTTGCATTTTTTATGTTGATTTGAATAAATACAAAAAATAACTCCAAAGTACGAAGAATATGCCAATAAAAACAAACCGGCATGAATTCTAATATACGACGTAAGAATATGTGAGCTATTTATCTTTTACAATAAGTTTGAAGTGTTCCTTTTGGAAAAATATTTCTATTTACTTATCTACATTCGCAACTAATTGGAACGTATCTGTCCTCTAGTAGACAATAGATAGAAGATATAATAGTTATTCGACGATATTTCGATCTATTCTCAATTATTGTAAATTTCAAATTCTTTTTTGACTAAGATGTTTTCTAATTTCGGATAAATATCGACTAGTTGTCTATCAGAAACTATCTGTGTTTAAAAATGGGAGTCAATGAATAGATGTATCATATTTCAAGCAATATGATTTGTACCTTAACATGGCATATTATGCCAAATTCCATCGTTATAGATCATGCTATTTCTTGCAGAGTATTTATAATTAACGCTAATATAATCAGAAAAATAGTTTCATCAATCAGCATAGGGTCGCCCTAATCACAAGACGATGGATGATAGGGCAGTGCTCTATGATCTGGTGTGAAATCGATGCAAAATAGAAATAATGATGGTAATTATTACGCTTTTATTTCTTCTAGTGGTAGAGCGGCGCCAACCTAGATCATTCTTCGGTACGCGATTAGATAACAAGAACACCCCATGTGTTCTATTGCGATCGAATTGTGATAGCGCTGTAACTTGTGATTGTGAAAAAATGCGATGCAATTACGAGTAGTCATGGTAAAAAGTCACAGTTACGCGTAATTGCATTCCAACTTTTCGCAGCTACGGCGTAACCGCGTCATAGTGGCTAAAAGAGACGATGTGAGTGAGATTTTCATTTTATTCATCATTTTTATTGTGAGTTACTTAAAAATTTACAAGCTATAAAAAAATTTAAAAAAATAAGAAAAAACCAAAAAAAAAATAATCACTATCAATAAAAATTTTTAAAAAGTAATAAAAATCATAAAAGATATTAATAATAATAGAATTTTGATCTCGGATTCAGACTCGTAACTCCCGAAAACCACTAGGTCTCCTGTTTGGTTTAAAAAGAGGAACATTTAAAATATACATTCTATCTGTTGTAGTAGAATAAACTATGAACGAAAATATCACCAGGACTTCTTTTCATACGGTCCCTCTGTGACTAAGTTGTAGCGCTAGAGAGTGTGACCATTTTTGAGTAAGAAAGAACCACTTATAGTTGGTTAATATCAGATAGAGTGAATTGTACGATGCAAATAATGCAACGCGCTTCTGTTTATCTATTTTGCGGTTGTTATAAAAGTGACGACATGGGTCTGATGAAGTTCTTTGGAAATTTATCATCACTTTTTTATTCCAGCAGACTTTGGAAAATTAATTGGACAGATAAATAGAAGAGAAATTCCACTACATGGTCTGCGTAGAAAATATTTATTAAAAATTTGAGAGCTAACAAAGGCACGTACGTTAGAAGAAATATGTTTATTTCATGATATTTTTATCTCATCTGACTTTATTACATTATCTTCCATATTAAGACTCATAAATAAAGAAAAGTTTCCATATAAAGTGATCTTAAAACTTAATTATCCATCAGTTCTACCCTTTCTTAAATTTCTTCTTACATTGAAAATCAAATAAAGAAAAAAGCTTTGCTGCAATAGAAATTAACAGGTGGTAAAAATTGATATCGATATCAACTTCTAAAATGCATATGGAGTTATAAGATAAAACTGAGTAAATTGGATCCAATAGTCGGAAATAAAAATGAAGTTTCTTTGTAAGAAATTTATGTGACATGCTCTTTAGTTACAATGTACCCACGAGTTATTTAAAATAATGGTGAACTCACACGTAGTGTATTATCATGATAAAGTGGGTTTCAAACATAAAAGATTAGTTTTAATTAATAATTCAAAAAACGTCCTCAAAGAAAAGAAATATTTAATCAGTCGGTATGATTTCTTTTTTCTATAAATAATAAGAACGTTTATTTACAGAAATAGCTAATTATCTATTATTCTTCATTCATTCATTCATTTATTCACAGCTAAGCTTTCCTTTGAACCAAGACCAGTTCTGTGAGATGTTTCCTAGTTTTTTGCGTTTTCATCGTTTGAGAACAATTATATACTATCATATCGTTTTAAACATATTATAGATATTGAATATATTTTTATTTTATCAAACGAAAAAAATATGAAATTATACAACTGAGCTATTTCTTTTAATTCGATAATAACAACACGAACATTTACTACACCACAATATCGATTTAAATACATTAGTTTTTACTGTTGCTAGATAAATAAATGGATTTAAAATTATTGAAATTTTGGCAATAAATGCATATATTGTCATTAAAACTGATTGTTGACTGATATACTTTAAATTAAATAAATAAAATAAAGCCATAACAGCATATGGTGTCCAACTAAGTAAATACTCACTAACTAAAAATATTGTTGCTAAAGCAAAGCGTTGATCAGCTTGTAAACGATTTAATCGCATCAGATAATTCACGCGAAAGGTACGTGTTTGATGAACAGCTAATCGAGAAGATTCATTCATTGGATTCGTTCCTATATGAAAATCAAGTTTTTCGCATTTAGCTGTTGAACTACTCTTTGATGATGAACTACACGAAGTTGATTGATATTTTTGATAAGATACATTTAATAAAAGATTAGATTTTGATACTTCTGTTGTACCATAAAGTAAAGATCGAATTTTACAGTAAACATATAAATTAATAATTAACAATAAAAATAATGGTATAAAATAAATAAATGCAAAAGCTAATATAATATAAATACGTGAACTAAGTGATCGATCAAACCAGTTTAATCCACAATGAAAACCAATTCCTTCTGGTATATATTTATTCCAACTGAATAATGGTGGTAATGCAAAAATAAGACTAAGTAGCCAACAAACTATAACAGTCCAATATGAATGTTGACCTATAAATCGGTTTTCTATATTCACTTGAAAAACTGTAATATAACGGATAATTGATATCATCATTAATGTAAACATATGAACACAACCATTTAAATATGAAATAAAACCTTCCAATTGGCAGTAAAATGATGAACACAATCGATGACAAGATAAACATTGAATAAATGCTGATGGCATTATCACAATAATTACTGATGTGGATGATAAAACCATTGATAATACTAACGAATAATGACGAAATCGAAGATGTCGATGATATAATGACCAATAAATGAAACGAATATTGAATACTAGTGAAATAATTGATACGAATAGTATAATCGATCCTATTATACGACTAATTAAGCATTCGAAATTATTTATTTCATCAAATAAACTCCCAAAACAATATGTCATATTTGAAGCCATTATCTAAAAATGATAATAAATATCAAATATGTCTGTTTATATTTATAGATGAATTTTCTTCTACGAAGAATAACTTAACTTTTCTCTATCATTTTTCTTAGAAAAATGTAATTATAGTCTATGGGAAAAAGATGAAAAAATTCACAAGGACACATTGTTGGGATAAAACAACACGTTTTCTTAGATGATTCTAGGACTCTTTTGGAATGTTGTTTCAGTAGAAAAAACACGTTTTTTCCGTAAAAGCACGATCTGATGTGCTTAGAACGTTGTTTAAGACGAATAGTTGTTGAGTAGTAAAAAGCATTTTAGAAGAACGCAAAACGTGTCTTAACGGCACATATCAAAGAAACATGTTTTTCGTAAAAAGAACAAGTTATTGTTTTGAAGAAAAAAAAGTCGATCTTCTGGTCTATAGGATCTCTGAATGTATTCCGTCTCTGATCCGTCTCCACGCTCGAGTAACTCTTTTCTTTCTCAGTCGAGTTGTCGTTCTCGATCAGCGCGTTATTGCACCAGTGAATCACAATCCAAGACTCCAGGAACGCCTTCTGACTATTTTGCTTGTTGCCGTAGTGTAGACTTGACCAGAGGAGCTTATAACTAAGCAACAGTTAACATACAACTAAACTAAATTTGCTTTTTGAAAGTAATATTTTCTACTTATATTAAGTGAAACTTATGTGCAGACTCGAACAGATTTGTAGCTCCTTGTACTATTTGTAGAGGTCGATGCCGAAATCAAGTTCGAATAAAAATGCAATTTGTAAATTCGAAACAGGTACTTTACCATTGAGTTTTACAAATTAAAATTGTTATCATTACCACCATGATAATTTAGGAAAAGCGAAAATTGGTCGAACGAAAAAAAGTAGAACAAAAATTGGTTAATACGATAATTGGTCGACGCGAAAATTAGTCGATACGAAAATTGATCGAAGAGAAAATTGGTCGAAAGTGTTTCTTATAAAAGAAGAAAAGCTTTTTCTTAAACACAAGCTATAAATTTTAAGGATGAAAACAAAACTTAGACTAATTATATTAATAGAAGATACTAATATCAAAGAGATCTAATGATTCAGAAAAATAAGATAGACAAATACAAAAAAGCAATAGTAGTTTAGAAACTATAAGGCAGTCCTTCGAATTGGTGCAATAAGGTTGTCTGCCATAAGAATGTATCTATAACCTTGTTCTCATCCTCACATATAGTCTCGCTTTCAAGACAGGTAACGCTACTACAACAATCGGAGAACCAGTTCATAGTTTCTAAACTGCTACTGGTTTTTGTATTTACCTAACTCATTTCTCTGAATCATTAGATCTCTTTAAGATTAGTATTTACTAATATAAATAGTCTAAATTTTCCGTTTATCCTGAAACGTTATAGCTTGTGTTTAAGAAAAAGCTTTTCTTCTTTTATAACAAACATTTTCGACCAATTTTCTCTTCGATCAATTTTCATATCGACTAATTTTCGCGTCGACCAATTTTCGTGTCGCCTAATTATTGGCGACCAATTTTCGTTCAACCATTTTTCGTAGACCCACCGCCCAAAAATCGAAAAAAAAACTTTTTCCATAGGGAGAAGCTGGAGATGCCACCACGGAAGATGTCTAGAGGTGTTAGCCGATTCTTTTATTAGCGGCGACAAAATCCTTCGTATATCATTTCACAGTCTTTCCATGGTCCCCTACTACTGAAGGAAACATTAGACATTTCGTTTTCACAGATATATAATGTTGTATATATCTTGCAACGTGGTTCTCTCCTTTTCTAAAAAGGTTTTCCACTATACTTCAGTTTATTTTCATCAAGTCAAGAGTTTCAGTGTTCTAAGGTACAATAAATTAAAGAAAAATAACAATAACGCATGGTGGAAGCAGAAACAACAATAATATCATTTATATCTACTTGAACATAGAATAGTTATCGTGAATAAATTGTATTTTTCCGACAGTCTCTGGTGCAACTTGTGTTCGTTTGACAGATAATATTAATGCGAACACGACTATTTTATGTTTCATACCTTTTTGTTCTGTCGCCTAATTGGTTATTTAGAGAAGGAAGAAGTTTGAACTATACATTCATTCAATCGATGGTGGCGACGGTGGCGAGAAATCGACGACTAATACCTCTAGAGATGCTGCATCTCTCCGTAGAGGAGTGGCGGGAGATGCGGCGTCTCTTATGAAGATGCGGCATCTCTCTTGGGAGACGTATCTTTCGGAGGTACCCTAGGCCCAAAAATCGAAAAAAAATTTTCCATGGGGAGAAGCTGGAGATGCCACCACGGGAGATGCCGCATCTCTCTGTAGAGAAGTGACATTAGAATCATAGGTCAAAGATAGTTGGTATTTAACGCTGTTTGGCATATCCGGCTTCTCCACAGGCTTCTCCAGCTTTCCCGATTTGCTGGATATATGACACGGTTCAAAAAGTTACAAACTTCAAAAATGCACGTATATGTTTTGTCTCATAAAATTGTACGAAATACTTATCATACAACTGTAATATATATTGTTCTCGACTTCAGAAGAAACTGCGTCGATGCAAGGATCTGTTGCATATTCTTATTATTCTCCCTTTTTTCTCTAGCCGCTACAAACCTTCATAATATCCGTCATGCCACAGGCATTATTTGATCAAAATAAAAGCATGAATTTAGAAAGTTATGACTTAGACATATTCACGGTGATTCGATTTTGTTAGAAAATAGTTTTAACAGATTCATTTTCATGTGCATTCACCTTCCGATAAATGTACTCATTGGTGTGCTCAATATGTGCTGGCAATTTTCTTGTTCTCGGTTGTATCATTATATAGATGGTTCTTTATTACGTCGAACTGAATAATTAGTCAAATTTTTTTTGTTCTTTCTTGTATATATTTCGCATTAGGAACAAAATAACACAACGCAATTTCGATTTATAAAAAGCCAGATTTTAGCCTATTAAGATTTCTCACTGAATTACTACGATCGGCAAAACAATGAGACTATGACGAAGTCGACTAGCTCAAACGTGATGAAGTTTATGGACTCTAGAGCAAAGACACTATAAAGTTCATCAAATAGATAGATAGAAGAGATGCTTTGATGATATCCATAAAGCCATCGCATTAAGCAAATGTGATCAGTACCAAAAACCCAAGAAACTAAATTAGCACATCATGGAACCACATGTTGTCGTTGATCACAATGAAGGGAAACAAGGTATATACATTTATCAGATTAGCTATTAACATATTATACACCTTCTAGAAGACATGTAAATGGTATTAACAAGTGGCACTTGAATTGATATTTGAGATGATTATAGTTTGTAGCTATTTGATTTACAGAAAAAACTATGCCGCCATCGACATGACCATTCTACAACATCATGAAAGTCTTGTGTGATCTTTACTCATTGATATATCACTCGCGAAGCTGAATCCTGGTTTCAGATACACTCAGCAAGCTATTTGAAGCGCAGACTCGCTAATCACAAGCTTCAAGAAAAGGATGAACTGCGCACATCATCCAAGGACGCTGTACTAGCTGCTATGAGAAAAACAAGGAACAATAATCAAGAGCAGCGAGTGATGTAACAACAAAGAAAATAAAAATCTTCCGTTTTGATTGTGACAAATTTGTGAGTCTTGATTGTTTTAACGAGAAGTATCACGCTATGGAATAAATGATTCAAACAATAGCGAAGTTAGAATAGATGATAGATTATATGTATAATAGCTAGTCTATAAAAAAAAAAGAAAAGAAAGTGTTCTTGTATTAGTTTTGTTGTCAAAATAGTGTGAGACGCATGAGTAAGTGCCATCGTTTCGAATGTGTTAATGATACATTCGATGTTATCATCAATGTAGAATAATTTTAAAAGATAAATTTAGTTCTAAAAAACCAATATTTGACAAGAAAATGGCATAAATATATCAAAAGTTAAACTGAGGTTATCAAGCTCTCAAAACTTCTTATTATTATGATATTTATAAAACGAAACAATCTGTCAATGAAATCTTTTCCCCGTCTATAAACTTAATGATTTAGTCTAGTTCAAGACTCATGCAGTGTTAATCTCTAATAAACAATAAGAATTAAAAACAATATTTTCATATTGAAGAAGTAATATTGAGGAAACAGGAATTGATTAACTACAAAACATATTCCAGTAAATATTAATGATAGGTTAACACATCTTGTTATCTATTATTTTGTTATTTATTTCTCTTTCATACATGCATTTTTTATACGTTCCATATAGTAGTATTACTAAAATGCAATACAAAAATATTTATGATAGTCGTCTGAAGTATTACAAATGGAACGACATTTGGTGAAAATAAAACATCGAAACTGTTTAAGGATAAACAAACATTCTATGATCGAGAACATTAAATCCATTAGACAGATGTATTGAACCCTCGTGAAGTACAGAAAATGTTCGTGCTTTCAAACGTACTTTGACTTATAAAACTGATCATCTAAGAGAACTTGTCTATTTGAAGAATAGTTAATTTATTCGGATAATTTGTGTGACAAAGAAAAGGGCAAGAGAAATCAAATTACCAGATATAGAACATTCCTTCACTTTGCTTATCGACAAGCTTGTAGTTAGAAGAAAACAATCGCAGATTACAGGCTCCTTTTCTTTTTATATCTCTTTAGATTGTAAGACAATATATTATAATCAATGATTAAATCAAGATATTGCTTACAGATTCTATATTTTCTATTTATTTCTTTTATATGTAAATCTTTATCAAAAGGGTAAGTATTATATTTGATTAGTTAATCTGTTCCACATTAATTTCTTTGTTTGAACCATTCTATGTTAATCTCAAGAAAGATGTTCCATGTTTATTTGGTCTTTCGAATTGATAATAAAAATCAACACAAAGACTAGTTTTACTTGATGGTGATATTATCATTCTTTGTGAGATGATTGATTGTCTTAGCTAGTGTAATTTCAATCTGATGTCTATTAGTATTCATCCTTATTTCG